TGGCTGCCCTTGCCTCTGTCCCAGCACCTCTTCCCCGCTGTCCCACAGCCCTCCGTGCAGGGTGGGTTCCCGGCTGGAGGAACCAGGGGCAGAATGTGGGGGGCAAGAGTGGGAAGAAAGGGTCCTTTTTGGCTCCTAAGGTTCAGACTGCGCGCTCTGGCCTTGCTCCTCCGGGCAGGGTGCACCGGCGCCCAGGACCTTGTGCCCGGGGCTGTCCCGCTTCCGGCGGCAGGAGGCTGTGGGAACCACAGACTTCTGTTTTTCCTGTTGCTCTAAAATAAGGCTGTGTCTGGGGCCGGAACTCCGGCCGTGTAGCCCCTACCCCAGCCGGGGGCAGACACTTCTGGGCCGGAACTTGAGCGGGGCTGGCTACCTCAGAGGCCCCCTGGCCCACGCCGAGTGGGTGCAGGGCCTGGACTGGACCCAGCACTGAGCTTCATCTCCAGCCCTTTAAAAAGATGTTTTCAGGGGCTGGGGAGATGGCTCAGTGGAATAAGCGCTTCCCTGGCAAGTGCGAGGGCCTGAGTTCAATCCCCGGTTTTGCCAAAAAAAAAAAAAAAAAAAAGTTGTTTTCAACAGTGGAGATTGAACCCAGGGTCTTCACACTGAACTATGCCCACAGTCTTTTTTTTTTTTTTTTTTTTGGGGGGGGGTGTGTGCTGGGGCTCAACAGAGGATCTTCCAAAAGCTAGGCAAATGCTGTGCCGCTGAGCTACATGCCTAATCCTATTTTTTAATTTTGATACAGGGTCTTGGTGAGTTGCTAAATTGTCCAAGCTGCTTTGGGACTTGCAGGCCTCCTACCTCAGCCTCCTAGAGAGTGGGACTGCAGGTGTGCATCATTTTGAGATTCAGAGTTGCCCAGGCTGGCCTCAAATGAGGTACTCCTGCCTCAGCTCTTGAGTAGCAGGGATTACAGGGTAGGCCAATGTGCTGAGCTCTAAAAGGTCTTTTGCTTTGTCTTGTTTTGAGACAGGATCTCACTATGTAGCCCAGGCTGGCCTTAAACTCCAGGGACTCTTCCTGCTTCAGCCTCCCAAGTACTGGGATTACAGACATGTGCCACCATGCCAGGCTCTAAAAGGTCTTAATTTTTTTTATTTTTGGTATTGGGGCTGGAACTCAGGACTTCGCACTTGTCAGGCAGGTGTTTATGCTGCTGAGCCATCTCCCTGGCCCTTAAAAGGGCTGTATAGGGGCCGGGGAGATGGCTCAGTGGAATAAGCGCTTCTCTGGCAAGGGCGTGAGTTCAATACCCGGTTTCGCCAAAAAAAAAAAAAAAAGGGGGGGGGGCTTTATAGGGAGAAAGGGCCTGTATTTCTACTCCCAAATTCAAACTTGAGGTGAGAAACTGAGGCACCAGGAGCACACGTGCTTGCCCTGAGGTTAGCACAGTGAAAGGGGAGAACAAGACTCAGGTTTTCTGTTAGGATATTATTTTCATAACATTTGGCAGTGTTGAGGGCAGCTTTGGCAGAATCCTGAGGGCGTGGTGGTGCATCCCAGCACTCGGGAGGCTGGGGCAGGAGGATCATTGCAAGTTTGAGACCAACCTGGGCTACAAAGTTAGTTTAAGGCCAGCCTGAACTGCATAGCAAGACTGTCTCAAAAAGACAAAAGAGGAGTTAGGGAGATGGCTCAGTAGAATAACAAGTGCAGGGCCCTGAGTTCAATCCCCAGTACAGAAAAAAAAAAAAAAAAAAAAAAAAAAAAAAAAAAAAAAAAAGCAAAAGAAAGACAAAAGCAAAAGAATCCTGAGGGAACAGGACAGAATTGTGTAGGCCTGGTGATACATACCTGGAATCCCAGTGCTTTGGGGGGAGGCTGAGGCAGGACACTCATAATTTGAGCCCAGCCTGGGCAATGGAGCACGAGACTCTGTCTTAACTAGGAATGAATGGTGCCCCCGTAGGGGGAAATGGTGGCAAAGATTAAAAATAAATACTTAAAAAAGGGGTGGTGTGGTGTAGTATGGTGGAGCTGTCAGATGCAGGAATCTCACACAGCTGGCAGAGACAAGGTGTCCAGTGCTGAGAGGCCAGGCAAAATTGGTGGTGTGGGAGAGGCCGTGCAGAGAGCGGCCAGGACTGCGGGATAGCTGCCTCTGGAGCTGCTTGCAAAGCCGAGTCACAGGACAGTGGCTCTGGCTGTGGCCGCTCCCACACCACGTAAAGCTGATGGGGGACATGATCTCCATGGAGGGGTAGAAACTAGCAGAGGTGCCCCCAAGTTAACAGCAATATTCCCAGTCATGACCGTGCAGCTGCTGGTCTCACCCACGTCCTCTCCATCTTTTGAAGCTAATCTCCGGCAGGTCATTTCATCTATAAACATCTCAGTGAGTATCACTGAAAGGTAAGGCCCGCCCCTGCAGTGCGGAGCCACATCCCCAGTCCCTTTTCTTTGTAAACTAAGGTAGGGTCTCCCTAAGTTGCTCAGTTGCTCGGGCTCCCCTCTTTGTGATGCTCCTGCTTCAGCCTACCCATTGTGCCACCTTGTCCTGCTTTTTTCCCTTTGTTTGGTGCTGGGGATCTGACTTGGGGCCTCACTTATGCTAGGTTTTACCACTAAGTTACACTCCAGCCTTACTCCATCTAATTTATACTAATTTATATTTAAATAGGGGGGCTATGATGTAGCATAGCATGGCTAAGAGGAATGATCGGGAATCTGCAAATTTTCCACTTGCTGGCGTGGTACCCATCGGGGTGGCTTGCTTTATTTATTTTTGAGATGAGGTCTTGGTATGTAGCCCAGGCTAGCTGCCAACTCTCAGCACTCTTCCTGCCTCAGCCTCCCCAGAGGGTGGCTTCCTTTATTTTTTAAATTTTTATTTATTTATTTTGGCAGAACTGGGGATTGAACTCACGCCCTTGTGCTTGCCAGGGAAGTGCTTATTCCACTGAGCCATCTCCCCGGCCCCACCGGTGGCTTCCTTTAAAATAGTATTTTGTGGTTGAGAGCTTTTGACTCATCCCCCTGTGAATCTACACAAGAGTACAGAGATGAGGCAACTCTGGGTCCAAATTCTATCTTTATCACTTAACAGCTTTGAAGTAGCGCAAATACATTAACTTGACAGACTGAATAACTATTAGCCAGCAAAAGCTGAGTGTGGTGGTCTACACTTGTAATCCCAGCACTCTGGAGGCTGAGGCAGGAGGGTCACTGTGAATTCAGCCGAACAAAGAGAAACCCTGTTTCAAAAAGTCTTCCCGGGGCTGGGGAGATGGCTCAGTGGGATAAGCGCTTCCATGGCAAGCGCAAGGACCTGAGTTCAATTCCCGGTTCCACCAAAAAAACAAAAACAAGCCTTCCCCCCCATGCAATATTAGCTGGCAGAATAAATCTGAGGTCTAATTCTCTTCATTGGTAAATGAAGACAACTTTTGGGAAAATCAGTGTATGAGTATGATGTTCAATAAGTGTTGCTGATACAGAGCCTCATCACTGCTGACTGCCTAGAAACTGCCCTTCAGGCCCAAGGGTTAGTGGTCCAAAGATACAGGATGGTAGGGATGACCAGCCTGTTCTTCTGGAGGCCAGGAGGGTTAAGGCTGGGTTAGCTGTCCAATGTGTTATGTCCAAATGACAGTGCTTGTAATCAAAAAACTGGGAGGTTGAAGCAGGAGGATCACCAGTTTGAGCCCAGCCGGGGCCATTTAGTGACTCAGTGAAACCATGTCTTAAAAAAAAAAAAAAAAAAGAAAGAAAATAAGGAAGGCAGGCATGTAGCTCAACGTGAAGGCTCTGGGTCCAACCCCAGTACCATGGGTGTGTCCTGGACTTGAACCTGAAAGAGTGGGTACGGCTGAGGGGCTGGGCTAGGACCTTAGAGTGAACAGTCATACAGAGCCCTGCTCAAGTATACTGATACTCGGGCAGTCACGGGCAGTACTTTAACTTTTGCTGGAAATGCCTTAATCTGACAGCTCCAGCCTTTCTTCCATCCCTGTATCCCCATCCTCTGAAAATGAAAACATTTCTGCCAAGTTGTCCCTCTTTCCCCAGGCACTGTGCCTGTGCCTCCTGCAGAGTGCACTTGTACACTGACCATCTCCCCCAGCCCAGATTGTGACATCCAAGGCAGGAACCCTGCTCCGCTCATCTTTTGTATTCCCGCAATGTCACCCATGCCTGAAGCACACAGTAAGCAACAGCTCCGTAAGCAGAGTTGAATGTCCGAGTGCCCAAGTGGATGTGATACGAGGTGGCCGTTACCCACTGTCATCTGAGACGATGTGACGTCCAGGTAGGGATCGCATTGCAATCTGGGTTGACTGCAATCTGGGTTGACCGAAAAGTCGGGGCCTGTGATGACTGTTTTGAAGTGCTCTTGAGTGACAGTGGGGCAACCTTTGTACTCACCTGTGGTGAGCAGCGGCGGGGATGGTGCCCGGGGGTGTGCACTGGATGGAGTGCATTGGCCCGCTCTGACGTGACTCAGAGCTCCTGTGAACAGGCTCTCGCTGCTGCTCCCGAGACTGCTGAGTTCTGACGGTGATCAGAACCTGCAGAGGTCGTGGGCAGGGAGGGCGCTGGCCTGCAACCTGAGGTGTGTCTCTAAGATGACGAGGTTGTTGAGCTCAGCGGACAGCTGTGGTTCATGATCTGCATTATGAGCTGGAAACTAACCTCTTTGGGCCTGGACTTACTCTGGGAACGGTGTTCATATGTGTGTTTTATTCTTAGGTTTTGTTTCATCAAATAACCTCTTGAGGTCTCCAAATGACGCTGTCCCACTCGGCCCCACCAAACAAGGGAAGGACCACAAGGTGGGGGTCAGTCCCTAGAAAACGACCTGAAATGCATTATCTGGGTTGTGCCGCCACTGTTCTGGCCACAACCTCCCCCAAAATACTGGCCCCCCCGTCTCTCCCCCACCTCCCCCGTTCCCCAAGGCGCCTGCGCGGAGGCGGGGCGGTGCTTGGCCCTTTGTTGTGGGCCCCAGTTTCCCAGGACACCATGCGGTGCTGGGGTGGGGCTATGCAGATGAGCATGGGGGCGGGGCGGTTGCGGCGGCAGCCGGGGAGGGTCAGTTGGAGGCAGGCGCTCGTTGAGGCTGGAGGCTCCCTCTCGGCCCGCGGCCTGACAGGGACTTAGCCCGCAGAGACCGACCCGCGCGCGCGACCCCACACCCACCCACTCATCCACCTACCCACTCCCTGCGCCGCCTCCTCCCACCCTGAGCAGAGCCGCCGAGGATGATAAACACCCAGGACAGGTAACGGCCGGCCCAGGCTCCCCGCCCCCATCCTCCCGCGTTGGCTCCTGAGGGCCTCCCCCCAACAGCCACCCCGGCCCTTCCCCAGGTCCCGTACGCCCCCACTGCGGCCTGCCCCACTTCAGCCACCCCGGCCCCGCGGCGCCCTGCAACTGGGCCTCCTCCTTCCCTGTTGCCCCCACTCTCCAGCCCATCCCCCGCATCCGGGCCTCCTCGAACCCTAAAGCCCCCCAAACCCGGACCCAGCTTTCCTTTTGCGTGCCCCTTTTCCTTACGCCCCTCAGAATAATGCCCACTTCCCCACACTGGGCTTTCTCCTGCAAACATAGTCCCTGAATTGGTTCGCGTCGCCCCTAAATCTTGTAAATCACAGAACCGCCTTGAATTCGCTTAGTGAAAACTGCACGTCCAACCAGACCTCCGTCGTCCCTGCCCCGCTGCCCTTAGGTCCATCCTTCAGTGCTCAACCTGACCTGGGCGCCTGCTCGGCCTGGTCAGGCCCCGCAGCCTTCACAGGATCCCAGCCCTCCAAACTCATCTCTTCCCTCCCTTGCTCCGCTCCCCTCTCCTAGTTAGGCCCAATTTTCCCGTCTCCTAATGTCACGTTTTTTATTTTTCAAACACTTTGGATCTGATTACTGTCCTCCATCCTGTTTCCCAAGTTGTGACCTCGCAACACTTCTGAACTCCCTGTGCTTTAAACATTGGCTGCCGGTCTGCCCTTTTACCTCCTCGTCTTATTTGAATCCGATTTTTAAGATCATTGGCTCACAGAACCCTTTCTCAGTGAAGGCCTTCAAGGGCTGCCCCCTGGCCTTGCACTTCAGTACCTTTACAGCAGTCCCTGGGCCTGGACACAGGGCCTAGGCAAGTGTCCTCCCTCTCCACTCCTAGTTGCCCCCATGAATTGGAGAGCAGCTGCACATCCTTCTGAAGTGAGCACTTAGAGGATTTCCAAATTTGTATCCTGTATCCTTCCCCTTGGCCAAACGAGGCAGAACTCAGTGTTCAATTTTTCTCTTTCCAAGGTAGCTTTTCTCATCCATCTCCTTCAAGTATAGCCCATATTTTCTGCTCTAGAAGCTTTTCAGTGAAACACTTCCATAATTTCCTCACTCAGTTTTTAACCCTAGTTGCCCCAATATGACAGGTAACTTTTATTTGCATTTAAGACCTAATTCCCACCCTCATTTTTTAATAGAGTTGTTGCGTTGCCCTCTAGTCTCAGTGGCTTATTGGGTCCTCACACCAGCCCTTTTGTCCCCAAGTTGCCCTTGCAGCCTCTGCCCTATGGTGAAGCCTCATTGTTTTGCAAGCAGACCCATCCCCTGTGAGTCCTCTAAAGTGTGCCATGGTTTCTCCAAAACAAGACTTTACTTCCTGTTGCAAATACAGCCTGCCTTACTGCTTTTCTTCATGTAGGGCTCTGTCACCTGTGGTTCTTTTTTTTTTTTTTTTTTTCTCGGAACCAGGGATTGAACTCAGGCGCTTGCACTTGCCAGGCAAGCACTTATTCTACTGAGCCATCTCCCCAGCCCCCCTACCTGTGGTTCTTAAACTTGGGCTCCCTCTCCATGATCTCTAACTTTCCATCTCATTGTTAGCAGCACTGTCCTTAAATATTCAGGCCAGATTTTCAGTTTTTCTTGTATTTCAGTGTTTTCTTAACCCAGGGTGTATGTTTAAAAAGTCAGTCACAAGGCCACCTTTACAGATTGGCCAAATCATCCTGGGTGGGGCTTGGTTATCAGCATAACTTAAAAAATTGCCCAGGTAATTCTAATGTAGAGCCAGAGTTGAAAAACACTGCCCCTGCAGCTCAACTCCCCTCCCCCCTTTAACCTGTCCTATACTATTCCTTTAGTAGGTATCAGCTTGTCTCTGTGGAGGGCCTAGTCTGCTTCAGAGGAATATTTTTGTCTTTTTCTGTTAGTTACTATCCAGAAGTACCCCAAAGACTACTGCCACAGCCTCTTACATTCTCCTCCCTGCATTTGCTTAGTTTTAAGCCATTCATTAGCCAGTTTTCTCTCATCAGTCCTTAAACTCTGTTCTGGTCTTCCACTCTGTTTCTTCTCTACATGCAAAAGGAAAATTTGCCTCCATTTTCCTAGTTTGTTATGGTTGTTTGACCTGTTACACCTGGCTCTTGAAACCTCCTTGCCTACAACCTCATAGTTTTTTCTGCTTTCTTTTTCTGAGACATTCCACCTGGATTTCTTGTTCTTTGATTCCATCTTCTCCATTCTCTCTGAATCTGGGGAGGTAGAAATGGATTATTTTGGATGGTGCTGGATGCAAAGGCTGATAACTGTAAGGAAGGCTGTATGCAGAGGGTGAATGGCAGGCATGAGAGCAGGTAGGACAAGTGCAGGGGTGGAGGAAGCAGAGGAACCTATAGCACAACCTGCTTAGGAGGCATTTAAGGTGGATTTTGTCTCCTGGTGAGTTTGCCACAGGGGCTTGAAAGGTAGACCTTCCAGCAGGTACTTTCTGAAGTCTTCTGAGTTGGAACTGATCTGGGACAGGTGGCCAGTTCTTGCAGGCTGAACCCAAAGAGTTGAGCATTGGGAGCAACATAGAGGGGTCTTCTCCGACTGACTTGGCGGGACCTCATTCTTCCTCAGCCAGTGTACTTGCATGTAAAGAAAGGGGGTTGGGTGAGCTCTAAGATTCTTTCCAGCCTCCTAAGTGGCAAAACAGGCTTGCCTGTCTCCAGGGCCCTTGCTTAGTGTGTTGGTATTACGAGGGGCTTGGCCCTGTGAGAGGCAGGTGGAGGGAGGAGCCAGCTGGCCTGCCAGGGCCTGGGCAGGAGTGGGGCTTTGGATCAGGCTCCTCCACTTTGGCCTGGGGGTGGGGTGGTGGTGTGTGCACGGTGTCTGGTTTCTCGGAGTTTATGGCAATCCTGTTTCCATAGCATGTTTCCCAGCCTCCTCTGGCCTGCTTCAAACTTTCTAAAAGGAATCATGGTAGAGTCCGTCCTAACTAGGAATTCCGTTCAGAGATAAGAGCCGGATGCTTTCCCAGTCTGTGTTCTTGGTGTTTTATATCCGCAGAGTGGGGAGCTGGCTGGGAGTTAGCCCCTATTAGGTGGGGGATGGGATCTCCAGCTTCCCTGGCTGCAGTGAGACACTCGGGAGGTAGAGGCTTAGTTTCCTGGAAGAAGTAGTTGCTGAAGAGCTGGCGGTATGTTTCGAAAACAAGGTTCTTCCTTTCCAGCGTTGTTCTGATTTGTACCTCTAAAATGTCAAAATTCCTGATGGTGGGGGAGGGAAGAAGACCAACACAAGCCCCTGTATTGTGCTTTTTGAACATAAAGTTTAAATCCAAGAGGAAGCTAAACCTTGTGTCTTTTTCTGCCTGGATTTGTGGGGCAGAGAGACAGTATCTCTCTGGGGCTTGCTTGGTGTACAGTCTGTGGAGAAACTAGCCCTGACTTGATCGCCATGTTGAAATTGGCCTATATGCTGATGGAATTTGGGCAGATGGAGTTGGTTCCACAAGTGGGTTTTGGGGTGCAGGGCACAAGAGCTCATCTGAGACATACTTGCATTGAGTGGTTTCCTGGGTAATGGAATAGCTTTCTAGTTCTCAAGGAATTCGGTTTTGGTTATTTATTATTTATTGGCACTATGGCTTGCTGGGCATGGAGTGGGTGGAGCCAGTTTTCTAAGTTATACCTTCAAGGTCACCCTACAGAGGAAGAGAAACTCCTAGTCAGGAATCCCTCCAAATTGGAGGTATTTTTCAGAAAGCAATGTAGACTATTAATAGCAATTCCTCATTCTGCCAAGAAATCCAAATTTAGCTTCAGACATGCTTAGAAATATAAAAAGGAGGACTGAGGAGTGGGGTAGAAGGGATGTTACAAATGTGTGTTTCTAGAGAAAAGTAATTCATCCCTTTTTGAAACAGTATACAGTGTTGATTCAAGTTAGTGCCATGATTTGGAGAGCTAATTGAAAGCTGTAGGCCAGAAATGGCCAATTAGGTGAGCAAGAATTTTGTTATTCAGTGAACAAGGCAAGCAGTTTCCGGTTAGCAGTAGCAGCAGGATAAAATGCTTTATAGACAAGATAAGCCTTAAGAAAATATCCTAGACTGTTGATACATATAAACAATGATGTAACTCTATCCTGGGGGAGGGAAGACTGGAGACTGTGATACACTCACTATACTAATCAGATTGAAGTACTCAATATAAAGTTAGTGTTATTTTAAAGCATATTTAGCTCGCTAGCTAGCCACCCTTTGTGGTGTATGTGGTGTGCCTGCTTTGGCAGTGCCACTGTCAGTTGTGTGAGAAACAAACCTCAGGGGCACAGATGTTCTAGCTGCTGTTGTACCTGTGTTTCTTATGGAAAATGAGCCAAAACCCCATTTTGCTTTCAGCCTGTGATTCAGAGTAATGATGTCATTTTCTTATAATCATGCTTAGCAAGGAGACTCTCTCTGGAACACATAGCAGCCCTAGTGAAATGACTTATGCCTGGCATCTACCCAGGGCCTTTCTCAGATGGAAGAGAACTGGCAGCTGCAAATGGGCCTGTATGGTCACACTAGACTGGACGTGGCCACCACCTCCCACCTTTCTTCCTATTTCTCTTTTCAGTACATGTTTTGGGAACCCTGGATTGTTCTCCTTTTACGTAAGGATTAGTCATCAGAGATATTCCTAGTCTCCAAGAAAAAGCAGCCGCTGGAAGGGAGCGAGGACAACCTGGGTGTACCTGAAGCAGGGCCAGAGACATGAACTGCTCAGAGGGAGGAGGCAAAAAGGGGAAATGAATACAGAAGACTGAGAGTTTGGTTTTGTGAAGGTAGATGACACCAAGGCCATCTGATCCTCTCTAGTAATGGAAATCAGGGCAAAATGATGCAGACTTATATGTAGTTGAGGCTAGTGATTGAAGAGAAACATGATGGAAGCTTTTTTTTTTTTTTTTTTGCGGTACCGGAGATTGAACTCAGGACCTTGCCCAGCAAGCACTTATTCTACTGAGCTATCTCCCCAGCCCGATCAAAGCTTGCTTGCTTATTTATCTATCTGTCTGTCTTTATTTTTTGGTGGAACTGGGTATTGAACTTAGACCCTTGCGCTTGCCAGCCAAGCGCTTATTCTATTGAGCCATCTCCCCAGCCCCCCTGATCAAAGCTTATTGAAGTGAATTTGAATTTGAAAATTTGTTAGATTATGTGGTTGCAGAATTATTCAATGTTTGGTCTTGTCTGTGACTCTGATTTGAGCAAACTAAATATAAATACCAAAACTGACATAAAGTCAACTGGAAGTGATTCTTTAACCGAAGATCCTTTAGCAAGAGATTTAGGGTTAATTCTTTGCTAGTAAGTACTCTGGAGATTTAAAAACAGGATTCAAATTCTAAAAATGTGATTTAGCACAAGCATTTCCCAGAAATACATCTGTTGCCCACACTGCCTGTTGGTAGCCAGTATATGAAATTGTGACTTGCTAAGGACATTTCAGACATGGTTTCACGGATGCTCTGGAGGCAGCAGGATGTGATACGAGAGTAGCTGTATCTGAGGAGTGTGCCAGGGCATGTCCTGTCACAGCTGAGAAAATAAAGGCACTGACAGATTGGCTTTTGTCTCTCCCTTTTTTTTTCAATTTTAGGGAAGGGTCTGCTGGGTGTTCAGGGTCTCACTACTAGATTGGACTTGTAGTGATCTGCATGTTTACCGCCTCCCAAGAGCTGGGATTATAGGTGCACGTCACCACACCCAGTCTCAATTGTCATCTCAGCATGCCCTGGGGGTGGGGCCAGCACAGCAGGCCTGGGCATCAAACCCCTGGCCCCTGTGCCTGCTTGCTGGTGCTTTAATCTGCTGAGCTATTTGGCTGTGCCTCTACTCTTTTCTGAACTGCCCTAGATGTTGGAGACTGACATTCTTTTTTTTTTTTTAATTTTATTTATTTATTTGTGTGTGTGTGTGGCCAGCTCAGCCCACCAGGGGGCGGGGCTGGCTGGCATGTGGTGCTGGGGGATTGAACCGTGGTCCCTGTGCGTTGCTAAGCTTGTTTTAAGTAGGTGCTTTAGACCACTGAGCCATCTCACCAGCCCCCTGACATTCTTATTTCCAGCATGAGTCTGTTTGTTCTCCAAAAGCAGGACCAACCCTGTGAAATGACTGGTCTTTTCAGCTTGTGGACCAAGTAAGTTAGTTTCTTTTTTTGAGGAACTGGGGATTGAACTCAGGCCCTTGCACTTGCCAGGGAAGCGCTTATTCTACTGAGCTATCTCCCAGGCCCCCAACAAATAAGATTAATGGGAATATGAAATGTAACAATTTGGACCTTGTGACAGGGAGTTGTATTTGGTTTCAGTATTATTATTATTTTTTTTGGCGGAACCGGGGATTGAACTCAAGCCCTTACACTTGCCAGGGAAGTGCTTATTCCACTGAGCCATCTCCCCGGCCCAGGAGTTGTATTTGGAAGCCACATTCTTTTTTCTTTTGTGGAACCAGGGATTGAACTCAGGCCCTTGCGCTTGCCAGGGATGTGCTTATTCCACTGAGCCATCTCCCCGGCCCCTGGAAGCCACATTCTGTTGTGCTTAAATTCTAGGGTTCCTAATGAGGTTGGTGGCATATCTTGCTGTAGTACCATCTGAATACTGAAGTCAGTATTAGAGAAGGCTGTTGCTGGGCAGTTGCATACTCCATAACATCTAACCAGTATGTTTGTAGCCATCCCTCTTCCATTCTCACTGCAGAAATGACAGGTTTTTTTGAAAGAGAAGCAATTTGCCATTCATTGCAAGTAACTAATAACAAGTGCATTATAATGGGCATTGAAGACAATTACTGTTATCTAATGTCCACTAAGCTTTATGCCAGCGGTTAGATCCTGAAACACCCCTCATGTGCTTTCTTCTGGAGGCTTAATAGGGAGGATCAAAGCTTTACATCATTCTTGTGTGTGAATAAGGAGGTAAATGATTTGTTACCATCCATGGACTTTTTGCATTTGAAGAGGAGAGAGATCAGGAAACCAAAAATGTTACAAGCTCATAGATTAGTGGTGGATGTCAGGCAAACTCCAGGGATTATTTGTAGGAAACCAAAGGAGATTTCTCAAAAAACAGCAAAAGAAAAAAATCCAGCCTATTCTATTCTGATCATTTCAGGGGTTGTTTCTGCTCTTTGCATGAGCCACTCAGCAAAACATCAAGGTGTTAATTGGAATGCAGGCCAAGGTTCAGTGTAGCTTGAGGGTGGAGAGACTATTTGAGGAATATGGTGGTACCTCTGTTGGTGTTTGATGATTCTGGAAAAGATGGCTACATTCGAGCCTGTATGGCAAAAATGGCTGCAGTTGTGTTCTTGTCATCTGATGGAGAATTTCCAAACAAAAACAGTCACTTCTGTTTGTAAGATAAACTGTTTGCAAACAGAAGTGTTCTTGAACCAAGGTATCACTGTAATTCCTTAAGCAGGAGTCTGGTACCAGAATTTTAGAACGGTAAGGACCTTGCTGATCTATTTGTTTCATGAACCCAAGCATGCTTGTAACATGCAAGGCAACATCTCATTTATTGCTGGGAGGTTTTGCCTAGACCTTGATAGCTGCAATGACCAGGGGAAGCAAGCCATTGTTCTCAGTGGCCCAGGCCTGGTGCCCCTAAACCTTAACATAGGCCAGAAACTGCTGCTGGAGCCTGAGAAGGGCGTCATATTGCCTGCAGGGGGTACACCTTTGTATGGGGAAACCCCTCACCCTTGTCTTACTTTTCCTGGCCTGGAGACTATTGTTCTACCCTTTAACACTTTGAAAGGGGAAATCAGAACTTCTGTCCTAGAAATTTATCCGCAGAACTTTTTCTTCAAAGAGAATAAATTATGTCTTTGAAATCTAATCAGTTGTAAGGTCACCCTGTTAGCTGCTAGTGAAGGCAAGAGAAGCAAAGACGCCCAGAGGTTTTCTAGAGGAAGCAGGAGGGTGGGGTATGGGCTCATCCCTAGATACAGATGCTACTCCAGGCCCATGGATATTGCCTTGGGAACTCTGTGCTTAGCAACTTTCAGGTGTGCTTTTAGGTCCCAGGTGAAATCCCTTTAGAGATCAGACCCCTAAAAGCTGAGCAGTGGTAAGTCGGGATGAGTCCGTTGCTGTCAGCTGGAATGCTAATATGGTCCACTAGAGGGGAAGGTCCTCCTGGTTTGTCCCTTTGGCTTTTGTATCATTGTCATGTTAGGTGTGGCTTCAGTTTTGTTGCTTTCCACTTAGAATCCCAGAATTGGCATAACGTAAGTACTTCCCACTTGGCTCGTTCAGGCTGCCAACATGACATTGTTAACCATGACCTTGGGGACGTGTGTGAACTGGCTCCAGCATGCTACTGTGGCACTCCTGTCCACTGCCTTCCAGATCCCCCAAAGGCTGGTATGTTGTGGCTGTGGAACAGGCCTGTTACTGAGTCACAGCACATGGAGGGACAGTTTATTTCTTGTCCGTTTGTCCTTGGCCTGGGGTCAGCCTGAGGGGCCACTAAATCAGAATCTAAGGGGACAGTAGAATAGACTAGAGCTGGTAGGTCCACGTGAAGATCATGGTAGCCAGGAAGGGCACACTCTTGGACATTTTTACCCCTTTACTCAAGGTCACCCTATGCCCCCTGCACCTGAGTGTTTAATCTGACCCTATTCTGATGTTCAGTTAATGAAGAGACAGGCCGAGGCCGAGGCCGAGGCCTCGCATCCGGTGGCAGGCCGGGCACACACGCAGATACTTAGCATCTGTGCACTGCAGCACGTCTCTGCTCTGGCAGCCAAACCTGGGTTTTGTTTCGTTCTTAACTCTTAGAGGGATTTGGGTTCCTTCAGTCAGATGTGGGGTTACTTGGAAAGTGGCCTTGGGAGTTCCTCAGGGCCACACTACCTAGTCCCCGTGAGTTCTCAAGGCCACCCGCCTCTCTGCTAGGGTCTTTGTCACAGAGGTGACTGAAGCCCTGCTGGCCTAAGGAAAGACTGTCAGCAGCACCAGTGTGGATGCCCAGCATGAAAGCTGGGATCTGGTTCTTTCCGAGGAATGCTCAGTGCTGTGGGATTTGGTTTGGAGATCTTTGATAGATACTTCTCTGGTTAGACGTGGCCAGCTGGGCTGGCTCCCTTGGCTCTTCCGGGATGTGCCATGCCTCTTCATCTGGAGGGTTCCTTGAAGAGAGCTGTTAACAGCAGTTTTTGAAACAAGTAGCAAAGACAGGGCAGCAGAGAATCCTTAGAAGGGTCGTGCAGGGAGAGCCAGGGAAGGTGTTGGGGGAATCTGGGCTAATGAAGTCCTGCTAGTCACCGCTTGGCCTTCTTTTCTCTTGCAGTAGTATTCTGCCTTTGAGTAACTGTCCCCAGCTCCAGTGCTGCAGGCACATTGTTCCGGGGCCTCTGTGGTGCTCCTGATGCCCCTCACCCACTGTCGAAGATCCCCGGTGGGCGAGGGGGCGGCAGGGATCCTTCTCTCTCAGCTCTAATATATAAGGTAAGAGAGCCTGGGCAGGGAAGCATGGGCATTGCTGGCCTGTGTCAGGGTGCCCACTGACCCTCGGGCCTGGCCAGTAAGGGCACTGGGAAGGACCTTTTTTTTTTTTAAAAAAAAAAAATTATTTATTTTGTGTGTGTGTGGCCAGCTCAGCCCACCAGGGGGCGGGGCTGGCTGGCATGTGGTGCTGGGGGATTGAACCGCGGTCCCTGTGCTTTGCTAAGCTTAGCTTGTTCTAAGTAGGTGCTTTAGACCACTGAGCCATCTCACCAGCCCCAGGACCTTTTTTTTTTTTTTTTTTTTTAATAAAGTAGACAAATTACATTTATTTATTTGGTGGTACCAGGGATTGAACTCAGGACCTTGCGCTTGCCAGACAAGCACTTATTCCACTTGAGCTATCTCCCTGGCCCAGACTTTTTCAACTAAGGCTCCCCACATGGCTTTTCTTGAATTCTAGATGGGGTGGTGGAGGGGTATTGGCACCACTTTTGGCCTTTCCATCTGCTGAGGTTGAGGCCTTAGACTGGGAAGGAAGGGTAGTTGGGCACGTGAGTTTGGAGCACTTGAAATCATGCTGGGGGGTGGTGGGGGGCAATGTGGGCCCCTTTAAGAGTCTACCTGAAAGCAGGCATTGGTTGGTTATTAAAAGATCATTTGTTTTTGCTGTTTTCCTTTTAGAGAGGAGAGGGAAAGAATATGTTGTTGGGGCAAAGCAAAGGCATTCAGGTCAAGGAGAGTTGCGTTTGAATCTCAGCTTTGCCATTAATTACTGTGAGAGCCTGGGTGGGTTGCTTAAATGCGCTTGGCCTAGTTATTGCAGATTTGAAGTGGAGATACAGGTGTGTGTCTCAAGTGCTTGTCACAATGATTATAGTAGTATATGGGGACAGTACCCTAGATACCACTTGGCACATAGGGAATAGTTGGTAAATATTTCCTGCTCACTATTATTGCTTTTACCAACATCATCTGGTCTTAGCAGTGACCAACAGTTAGCCAGCATACAGGTTCAGCACACTCTGTCTCTTGCTACTGTGAGCCTGACTGAAGGCATCCCAGTGCCCCGATTTAGGGAGCAGATGATGCAGCCAGAAGCACTAGTGATCTGGGCTTGTACCCTGCTTTCCTGCCCAGGACGAGAAGCTCACTGTGACCCAGGACCTCCCTGTGAATGATGGAAAACCTCACGTCGTCCACTTTCAGTATGAGGTCACTGAGGTGAAGGTCTCTTCCTGGGATGCAGTCCTGTCCAGCCAGAGCCTGTTTGTAGAAATCCCGGATGGATTATTAGCTGATGGGAGCAAAGAAGGGTAAGGAGCAAGTGGGGAAGGCGGCCCCCTTGTAGAGGAGTGCATGTATTTTCTGGGGATAAGAGATTTACAGAAGTGTTTGCTTCTTCCTCTAGCTCTAGATTTCCCAAACAGGTATCATTTTGTAACACATTATATTTAGACAGTAAAACAGGCCTGCTCCGGATTATAGTTATTAAAGTAGATCATTATTACATGAACCAAACACCCACCAATAGTCCCTTAGTTCATACTTCCTAGCAGACAGCAGTTTCGCTTTGACCCACCCTTCAGTGGCCAGGAAGGTCACAGTGGGATATAGTTGGGCTGGGGAAGGCTCTTTGTGCAGTCTGGGTGCTCTGTGTTTCCTCAGCTTTTGAAGAAACTGTCTAGGCTCCAAGCACCTCTCTCAGTGTTGCAAAGAATGGGCCCTTCCTTTAGATCCCAATTTTTGTCTTATTAAGATGGTTATGTGACTTTCAGATGAAGAACTATTATAGGAAGAGACAATTCCATCACAATTTTTCTCAGGACCTGTGGCTTGTCTCTGAACTCAGGGACCATGGAGCCCTGAAATGAGTGTTCTCCCTGGAGCTTCTCTATTATACTGCTAGGCTCAGGAAAGCCCTGTTTTAGGGGAGTGAGGTAAGAGGGAGGTCTGGGGTTGTGGTGGGCCTGACTAGCTCCTTGCATCCTGCAGATTGTTAGCACTGCTAGAATTTGCTGAAGAAAAGATGAAAGTGAACTACGTCTTCATCTGCTTCAGGAAGGGCCGGGAAGACAGAGGTGAGAAACAGCAGCCTGAGACTCCTGGGGTCTAGGGTGGAAGCAAGAAGGCCCTACAGTCAGGGGCACTCTCAAGCCTGCTGGGCTGGTAGAAGCTGCCCTGGCATTAGTGAAGGCCTAGTGCAGTGATGGCAGACCTTTTAGAGACAAGTGCCCAAACTGTAAGCCAAAGCCCACTTACTTATCTTTAAAAGTGCAATTGAAACAGAATACTGAGGTTTTAGTTTAGAAAAAGCTCATACATTGACATGTTTTGTCTTAAAAGGAAAATGGCCCATGGCCATAGGTCACCACTGCTGGCCAGTGCTTGCTTGTTCACATCACTGGGGCTTTTCTCTCGAGTCTTTATGTGTACTTCTCATCAGAATCCTTTATGCTCTTTTACAGCTCCACTCCTAAGGACCTTCAGCTTCTTGGGCTTTGAGATTGTACGTCCAGGTCATCCCTGTGTCCCCTCTCGGCCAGATGTGATGTTCATGGTTTACCCCCTGGACCAGAACTTGTCCGATGAGGACTAACGGTCGTGGAGGATGCTTTGCCCAAGAGCCACAGTGGGAAAGGGGAATTTAGGCAGCCCTGGGGCACAGAGGGGTGCCTCCCTGGTAGGAATGGTGCTGAGGGGCTCAGGGTGAGGCCTGCTGTGTTCTTGGACTTGTTGAAATTGTTTTCCATAAAGAACAGTATAAACATATTATTCACATGTAATCACCAGTAGTAAATGAAGATGTTTATGAACTGGCTTTAGAAGCTTTTTAAACTGCGCTGTGATGTACTCTGTCTAGCTAGGGGAGGGCGCTGCCTAGACGGGGAGGGAGTATCCAGGTCCAGGGGTAGGGCTGGTGGGCAGCACTGTCCAGCTCTGGTTCCCCTGCTGTTGGCTTTTCTGTTTCAGTTTTTAAGACTTATTTTCTTTTATTTGCCTGCTGTCACCCCAGGGACTCTCTGCATATAGGCTTTTTAGCTCCTGGGCAGTGTCCTTGGGTTGTTTTTGACACTCCACTCTGGCTTCTCTGTGTACGGGCGTAAGCAGGTCATGACCGACCGTTCTTTACAGCTTAGTGTTCTGGCATTTGTTTAAGCTGGCTTAATCTGTTCAATGTTATCAATGCATTTTAAATAGGGACACTGAAGTTCACTCCCATCATCACCAGGGCTTTTTTGGGGGTTCCTGGGCCTTAAACACTAGCCAAACTCCAATTCTCAAGTTACTGCCAGGAGTTTTTTCTCCTGTGGCCCAGGTCCCAAGGTCTCTCTCCTAGGGTCATGAAGAGCAGAAGAAAAATAGCAACTCAGGGCCTGGGAACCGTGGGGAATCTGTTCTTAGGGATGGGATGGCTGTGGCTATGGAGCACAGTGCTGCCTGCCTCCCCCAGGGCCCATGCAGTGCCTGAGACCCTGCTCTGCAGGGCCAAGGGCTAGGCCTGGGTGGGCAGCGGCCCTTTTCTGTTTCCAGTGAACAGTTTGTTCTAAGGGGAGAGAAAGGGGGAAGAGATCACAACTGGGTGAGGGGAGTGGGGGGTGTCAGGAAGGCAAGTGTGTTGTGTTACTGTGTCAATAAACTGATTTAAAGTTGTGATTGGGCTGTTTTTCCTTTACTAGCATCTTTTGGGTCCAGAGCAAACTTACATGCTTCTTGGAAAAAACTGCAATGTCATAGGACAAATAAGCTGGCACAGTCTCTGGGGCCATGTTACACCCTGGAGTGTGGAGTTGCTAGGAATCTGAGATGTGCTGCAGGAGTGCCCTAGAGAGACAGGTGTGTCTACAACAGCTCTGTGCAGAAGGGAGGGCGAAGGGACCCTTTTTTTTTTTCCCGGAACCGGGGACTGAACTCAGGCCCTTGCACTTGCCAGGGAAGCGCTTATTCCACTGAGCCATCTCCCCGGCCCCCTAGAACCCTTTCTTTTATAGGGAAGGCTGGGTCCTAATGCTAGGTTTGGGGTCTGTAGGCAGCTGCCTCACATTTGCATCCCTGAGGTGGTTGAAGGAGGCAGCACACACCTCTATTTTTCTCCTTTTGGAGTGTTCAATCCCCTTGTTTCACCAGCCTGAATAGTCATCTCAGTGGCACTGTAGGAAGCTAGAAGCTCTTGTTTCTTTTTAAACTCTCTTAATTAGGCTTTCCCCCCTTTTGATCATCCCCTCCCCCAGGGCATGTTCTTTCAACTCTTACAGCTTTGCAACTGTCTACTATGACCCTTACCTTCTCTGTGGGTCTTCACAGGTTTTTATGGCCTGTTGTGTTTTACTCTGGACCTAGTCATTAACCTTGGGCTCCACCTGCTGTTCCTTAAGAGAAGTGAAAACCCCTCCAACTCCCTCCACGTATTACTAGAACGAATCTGCGATTACACACATTCCAGCTGCAATCAGAACAACTTGAAGATGTCCCCCACTGAACAAATGACTCCTAGAGGCAGCATACAGACAGAAGGCAGATCAAATTCTTACATTAAACCTAATTAATGTACATGTAGACAGGGATTTTAAATAGACAAATCCCAGCCCTGGGAGGGTGAGGCAGGAGGACGGCAAGTTCAATTCCCACCTGGGGAATTTAGCAAGACCGTTGCAATCCCCAGTATAGAGGGAAAAACCCACAACTCTCCCCTTTAGCTTTCCCCCAAAGCTGGTAGAATGGATGGGAACACGCTTAAGATTCAGGGGCCATCTGTTTCTTCCTGTTCAATATGGCCAGAATTAGAAGCACTGAATTGAGCCCCACTGTCCAGTTGGGATTGACCTTTCAAGAGAAAATGGTTAGTGAAGATGACTGGTAAGAAATACACTAACCAAAGGGCGTGCTCCAGGTTAACGAGCAATGCAGGCATGGTGGAGAGGGGCAGGAGATGTGTGCGAGGCAAACTTAAGTCTAAATTTACCAACAGGGACATTAAAAACTTTATTCAATAAATACAACAAATAATTTAAAAATATACTTCAATTCCAAAGCCAATTAAGAAGGAAATAGAGGAAAAGGGAAAAGGGCTAGGAGGAGGGTAGGCGGAAAGGAGAAAGGCTGAACAGTGATTTCATCAGGCTGTTTCGTGAGCTACCACCCTTGTGCGTCTGAGTCTGATCAAATGCTCTTGACCCATACGACTTTAGCCCTTGTTCCCATGGGGTGACAATCCAACAGGAATGGCCCCGTGGGCTGTGCATCACAACACTTGGAAGCTGGAATGGTTGGGGAGGGGGAAGAGCGTTTAGAAGTTGTTTCCCCACATTCCCAACAGCTGTCCTTCCTGATTCCTGTATGGGTTTACACAGTGCAAACTCTCAGGCAGAGAGCTCCCAGCTGCATAGTTGGACAGCAAGTGTCCAAAGCCACTTTGGTGAGTGGGCTAAGGGTGAAGAGAAGGCCAAGGCCCAGGACAAAGCTCCCAGGTGAAGCCAGTGGCCAAGTCAGAACACAGCACTGGGTGGGAAAGGGCAACAGGGCAGGCAGCCTGGACACGATCTGACAGCTGGCCATCAGCCAGGGAGGGTGAAGTTGAGGGTCTGTGTGGAGCATGACACCAGGAAGACGGCAAGGTTGAGGGAGGAGAGAAAAGTGAGAAGGGAGGAAGCAGCTCAGCAGCAAACTTCAGGAGAAATAATCAGCAGCCCTCACAGATTTGTGATTGTCTCTTAAAAAGATTTATTTTCTCTTCTTGCCTGAATGTACAAAGGCAAAAAGAGTACAGTTTGTATATATATATATTTATATATATATATAAAAAAACAAGGAACTTGGTAATGTACACTTTACAGAAGGGAAGAATCAGGAAGACTGAAATTAAACCCAACAGACCAACGCCAATGGAACAAAAGCTATGAACAGCAACATGCCCCTCCAACCCGGGCCTCCAGCTTGCCCCAACCTGCTCCCAAGGGGAGGGCTGAGCACCAAGGCAAGCGGGCGGGCTGGGGCAGGAGGGGCGGGGACAGGGCCGGGAGGGGCTTGGTCCCAGGAGGGGCTACAGTGGGAGTCACTGGAAAGCTTCCTGGGACCCCCTAGCAATAAAATAAATGACAGAGGCCCAGAATTATGGGGCCAGCTAGCTGCCCAGTTGAACCTTGAGGGCATCAGAGTAGACACTGGATGGTGATGGGATGAGGGGGTAGCAAGTGATGTGAGGGGGCTACAAAGCCTGTACCCAATTCTCTAGCCCTTCTGCAGTCTTCGCCCCCAACTCCTGAAGCTAAGTCCCACCCCCACCCTGGAGCCTGGAGAGGAGATTCAAGAAAGGACCACGTCATTTTGCAGGATGCCCTCTTAGCCTTGTGTGTGTTTGGTCCTTTGACCTTGAGATGTATGGAGCGAGTGGGATAAGAGCAGGAAACTTCAGACCTGTACACATACATGTACTGGGCAGGGCAAGGGGTCACGGGAACTGCCACACCTTAACCAGGAAGAAGCAGGTGTGGACCCTAAAGAGCAGCTCTCTAAGCCTGATGATCCTTCCTGTGAGGGTGAGGTAAGGGTACCTCAGGGAGGGGCTCAGTCTGGTGGCCCATGTCCCTGGCAACAACCCTGCCCAGACTTTGCATGTGGGGTGAGGATCCTTGCTGTGTCCTCTCCCTCTGAGCCTGTCATGGGTGTCACAGGCTCACATGGGCATCACATGACCGCTGTTCCTTTCATAGAGAGGCTGGAAGTGGACAACAAACCTCTCACTCAGCATGTGGCAAGATGTGGCAAAGAATGCCACAGCTGCCACCTAGAACTCCACAGTGGGGGCTCAACCCAGAGAGGAGCAGAGCAGGCAGACTGCCATCTCCCCTGTGGCTTTCCCTTGCTCCAGGGGAGACCTGGGTATGTTTTTTTAAGGGAAAAATGTAAAACTCTGCTGTTCCCTTGTGTAGAACTCAGCTGCCCACAAATACGGAAGTCCCTCCTCTCTGTTACAGAACAAGTGGAAGGGGCAGGAACGTGGACTCATGCCTGCCAGGAGAGTAAGGAAATTGCTCCAGCAGTTTCTTTACACTATGTACAGAGCACACTGCAGGCCAGCGCCACAGATACAAAACACACAACAATAGTTAAAATCAAACAGAAATAGAGATGGGTGAGTGGCTCCACCCACAGGAGTCTGGGGGCCAAAGTCAGGCTGAAATTTGGTCACCCTCTTGGAAGGGTGGCCCAGGTCAGGTGGGTGAAGGTGTCCACACCAGCAACTTCCACAGATGGAAGGGAGGGGACTGTTGAGGGCTCTGCCCACTGGGAGCAGCAGAGGAATGAGGGCTGAGGGAGGTTGTTTGGGACCCTGAAAATAGGTCTAAAACAATGAGCTTTGTGGGAAGCTCAACACCCAACTTTAAACAAAAAAAAAGACACGGAAACCTAGAAGAAGGGTCTGTGGGTCACAGAGGAGCTCTGGTTCTTGTAAACTACCCTCACCGGGAATTGTGCTTACTGGCCCCAGCTCTGCATTCTTAGATTAAGTGAGAACCACCTTCCTGCTCTTCAAATGTCTCTTTTGGCACTCTGGTTACAAAGCACCCTTCTTTAGCCTAGGCTGGTGTCTGTTGGTCTTCTAATCTGGAGGGCTAAGAAAAGACAGGAGGGAGAACAAAAGGATGACACCTCACAAAAGCAAGAAGCGAAAGCTCCCCACTCTTTGGGGAGCTACCAAATAAAGCTACCAAGTCATCACTTTCTCAGTGCACAAGCGTAAAGCTCTGGGCCAGAGAGACTGTTTTCTAGGGCAGAGAAATGTCTGCAGCCTCCAAGCCCAGCCCAGGCCGCTCTGGCTCCCAGGAATAATGCTGAGGTGTGTGATCTCGTGGTCCGAGGAACACAGCCTCCCAGGACCAGTGGCCCCTACAGAAACAGTGTGTTACAGAGACGCAACTTGTACTGGCACCCACAGCGGGCACAGACTGAGCTATATAAAACCACGTATCTGCAGCCAGAATGGGGCTGTGTACTTCTGTGGCCCTAGCTGAGGAAGGTACTCGGATGGGACACACACAGGACATCTCCCAGAACTGGGTGCTGGGTACTCTGGGGTTGCCTGCTGGGCTTTGCCCTCCAGTGACCTGGCAAGCTCCTGGGGGTCGGGGAGAGGGAATACTGTTTTATCTGCCTGAATCTTAAGAGCCAAGCAATGGAAAAAAGAGGTGAAATCCCCTAGGAAAAGCACCAAGGGGGAGGACGGAAGAGAAAAGGGCAAAGAGTGGGGAGATAAGCAGCAGGACTTCGTGGGGACGCAGTTTCAATTTCACAGACTCCGTTCACACTCCAGCTCTCCCCCCAGGGGCTGGGGAGCCCTGTGCTGGTGTCGGAACCCCTACCTCTGCCTGCCGGGTAGCTCAAGGCCCTGCGGGCGAATGCCTTGACCTCCCTCTCCAGGCTGGGCTCTGAGCATTTATCTGTGCTCACGAGTGAAGGGGGAAGTCTCTGTGTTTGAAGACCTTGTTTTCACAACTACAGAGAAAACAGCCCCCAATTTCTTTCCTGAGATTCTAATTCTTCCACATGCTGCCAGTTCCCAGGGCCCAAATCGCTGGGGAGGTGTGGGATCTGGTGACAGTGGGAATGGCAGTGAGAGGGGGTGGCTGCTGTGCTGTCTTCAGACCATACCCAGTGCTTGGGCTCCCTCCCTGCAGGGGTTGGGTGGTACTGCACCAGGAGCAGAACAGAGACCCAGGGAACAGAGCAGTGACTTCTCTGGGCTGAGGCCATGTTCCCCTGGTTGCTCCCCATGCCTTCGTCTCCGGTGAGGCCACAGCAGTCACAGTTGTGGCTGAGAATAAATATTTTTGCTAAGTACCAGCTCTCCAGCTCCTGAGGAAGAGGGAGGGTCAGGGAGTCCGGGGTCTGGAGGAGGCGACAGGCAAGGGTCTGCCTTCAGTCATGGTTGGAACGGCAAACAGGATGACCAACACCATTTAAGTGATGTCTGAGTGGCGCCTCCAGCACCTCCTTGGGTGAGGCAGTCCGGCCCGTGAAGCTCGCTTTCTCCGGGCACGCGCTCTGCAAGGGAAACATGAAGAGGTAGCAGGCACTCAGCCTGTTGGCACAACAGCCACAAGATGGCGCTCCAAGGAAACAAACTTCGGGGAAGACCAAGGCAGTCCCTGAAGGTCCCTCAGCCGTGCACAGCTTCCTGGGAGAGGCAGGCCAGGGGACCACCTTCTCAGACTGCTGACCCTACACAGTCCCTCACTAGCCCCATGAGGGTACTATTGCTAGGTGGCAGCTGGCCCTGCTCTCTGGCCCCAAAGGAAGAAAAGTCACTCACCATTCTCACCTCCTGGGTGGTGGGTAGAGTGAAGGCGTGGAGCCTTGCTGGCTGGCAACAATGGCTGTAGAAGAAAGCCCTGAGCAGGCAGGAGGACGGGTTAGCACAGTGCTCACAAGAAGCGGACCACAAGCAAGCCGGAGAAATCAACAACGTCCCCACTTTTTCACCAGTCCTGGCCTGAAGCTGCAGTCCCGTGCGTGCTAGTCGAGCACTCATTCCCAGCCTTTTTATTTTTTAATTTTGGAACGGGGCCTCCCCAAGTCAATCCTACCTCAGCCTCCCAGGGATCTGAGATGCGCAGGTCTGCACCTGTGTGCTGCCAGCAGCCTCCTTTCAGAGCCCTTCTCCAGCGGGCTGGGTGGGTAAGCAACTTCCACTTAAACGCCTAGCTCCACTGACTTGGGGGCGCTGGCAGGGGAAGCAGATCTGCTGCTTGGCCAGGGATGGTGGCCGGGACGGTGGCTGTGCTACTTGGCTGCTCGTTTCTCTTGGGCTGTGGGAATGCCTGTTCCTTAGTCTTTTGAGTATCAAGCCAACATTCTTTTTTAAAAAAAAATTTTTTTAAGCCAACATTCTGAAGGAGTCTGAGAATCTTCAAGGTGCAAGGGAGGAAATAAACATCATATGCTCTAATGGAGGCTAGGACTATGGAGAGATTAGAAGCTGAGGAAGAAAAGTTCTTGTGGGAGACAAAGAAAAATGGGTGTCAGGGACAAGAGGCTTACCTGCTGCATAGGGTAGGTTGTACTGTGTGGGAAGCAGTGAGTACCCCAAGTGGTGGTGGTGGTGGTGTGTGGACATCAGGCGCTGGGAAGGTGAGGTGCGTGGCCGGTCAACACTCCGCTCAGCTCCGCCTGTTCCACTGACACTGCTGCAGCTGCCGCTACCTCCAACCACCCCACAGCCTCCCCGATCTCGCTCCTGAGAAGTTTTATCGCTAATCTGAAAAGGAAAGGTGACGCATAAGCACTGTGGTGACACACACAGGAGCAACATAACCAGTGCCCAACACTGAGCAGGAGGAGGTGACCTGGGGCTGATGTGAAATCAGCCAAGCTGCACTGTGGTCAGGACTGAACTGGCACACCTTCTGTATGACCCTAGGTGTGGCCTTACTGGTCCCTGTGGAACAAAAAGGGGCTCCTGTGCTTCCCTTACCGTGGGTGACTTGCTCTTGTAGTGGCTGGCATGCTGCTGCAAGATGTCCAGGGCTTTGGACTCTGAGCTGGATTTACAACCGACACTGGGGCTGGCTCGTGCCTTCTCGGCATCTTCACCTCCGGAGACCTTGCTGCCATATGGGGAGAAGGAGTAGCTCGAAGGCAAGTAGGAACCTAGCGTGAGAGATCAGGGGTCAGAGACGAGGGGCAGGCAATCTCCGCTTCTGGGTGGTCAGATGGGGTCCGCTCGTCTTGGCACCAGTTGAGGTCTTTTTTGCCATGCCGACTTTGGGGTGACACTATTGGCTTAACCTGTCTTTACATAACTACAGGGGAGCTGAGCAAAGGGATTGGAAACCGGGTCTCGAAGCTGAGACCACATCCACTTTGGTGCCCTGGGCACTGGAGTCTCAGCTTCCACTTGGAGTAGTGGTATGCTAAGGTAGAAAGCTCACAGAATTTACATGCAGAAAGGACGTGGGCTCATCCACACCTGAGATTTACTAGCTGGTAACCTTGTACAAACTAACCCACTTTTCTGAGTTTCAGTTTCATGATTATCAAAACAAAGATATCAATACCCTCTTTCATAGAATAATGAGTATTAAAAAACAAAACATACAAAAATCACCCAGGACAGTGCCTAGACCATTGCACGCTCTCAGCAAATAGAATTATTATCTGGATAGAGATGGGTGTGGTGGCAGGGAGCTAGGACCACCTCGATAGGGAGACAATTTTGAAAAGGTTTTCTGTCCTACTTAAAAGAGTTCTAATCATGTCACTGGAATGCCCGGCTATTTAAGCTGTAGGAAGGTGAGAGTTTTAGGAGTCAGAAGCGCCCCGGCTGGTCTGACTATATAGAGTTGGGAGATGGAAGGCAGGAGGGGTGGGATGGGGGCTGGATAAAGAGAAGCTGGGTAAGGGCACCCCAGTAGCTGGGGTGGTTGGGGTCCGCAGCACAGAGGGGTGACTAGAGTTTGCACAGCCTGTTACATATGTTACAAAGATCTGGACGAGCTGCTCACAGGCTCCAAACATAAATGGCAAACAGGGGACTGCTGGCCATGCTGATAGGATCAGTGCCCACTGGATGCGTGTGTTCACATACCACAGTAAACCTCATTAATATTATAATTAGAATGTGGATCGCAACAGGTTTTTTTTTTTTTTTTTTTTTTCAGGACCAGGAATTGAAGTGCCCACTGGATGCGTGTGTTCACATACCACAGTAAACCTCATTAATATTATAATTAGAATGTGGATCGCAACAGGTTTTTTTTTTTTTTTTCTGTTTCTATCTGTATTTCTAAGAGTAATTTGTATTTTTTAGAAAATGACATATTTTTTTTTTTTTGCAGGACCAGGAATTGAACTCAGGCCCTTGTGCTTGCCAGGGAAGCGCTTATCCTGAGCCATTTCCCCAGCCCCAGTATGTGGCTCAAAATAAAATAAAAATCAACAAAATAGAGGTGTCCTCTCACCCTAGAAAAAAAATCCGTATGACTCGTTGGCAATAGCAATCAGTCAGTGAGCTTCTTTCTCTAGCAAGTTAAAAAACATTTAAACCCCAACTTTGTAGCCCTCCAAAAGAACTCCCTGACAGTGGTGTGAAGAGCTCACTGTCCCTTGTGGGACCCCTGACCTGACTTCACTCTGCTCCTCCCAGCACTACATACCTGCCCAGGCCTTACACATGGAGATTGAACTCAGGCCCTTGTGCTTGCCAGGGAAGCGCTTATTCCACTGAGCCATGTCCCCGCCCCCCCCATTGTTCTCAGGCCTTTGTGCTTGCCAGGGAAGCACTTATTCCACTGAGCCGTGTCCCCGTCCCCCCACCCCCTGCATTGTTCTTAATCTGCCCCAAATGTCTAAAAAAAGGTCCAGAGGCCACCTTGCAGTTGGAGTGAGGGAGGAAGAGGTGGTCTCTCACACTGTAAAGTGGGGTCACTTAAGGAGCTATGGGTTAGACTGGTCGCCTTATGAAATAATGCAAGGGGTACTGTCATCCCGCACAGAGCCCTGGGGCTATGCAACAAAACCTGGATTGAATTCTGTGCCCCGCCTTGCATTGCCGTACCTGGGTAGTTCTGCATCATCACAGCAGGCATGCCCCGGTAGCTGGGGTGGTTGGGGTCATAAGACTGGCTGTAGGAGTAGCCGTGCATGTAGGGGATGTAGGACTGGTGCTGGGTGAGCGGGGAGGACACAGGCACATGGACACTTGGTCGGGGCTCCTTGCTCCCAAGGCGAGACTCCTCAGACGTGGGCAGCTTGCAGTCACTACTTGTGCTTTCCTTTCCATCCTCCTTGGGGACAGAGTCCTTACTCCGACTCCTTTCCTCCTTCAATTTGCGGTCCCGCTCCTCTTTCCACCGCTCATCCTCTGACTTGATGTCTGAGTACTTAGCAGGATACACGTACGTCCACATACGGGGCTCTGCCTCCTACAACAACCACAGAAAGAGGACTGAGTGTACACATCTAAGACAGAAGCCTCAAAGTTGGATGGGTGTGGTGGCTTTTGCCTCTAATGCCAGCAGTTGGTAGGCTGAGGCAGGAAGATCGCTGTGAGTTTGAGGCCAGTGTGGGCAACAAAGTCAGTTCAAGGCCAGCCTGAACTGCATAGAGAGAAAAAAGGCAAACAAACAAACAACAACAAAAAACTCCCCAAAAGTTTCAAAGCTGAAGCCCTGGTAGAAACACTGAAGTAGGCAGTTGCTAGGACCTCAGGCAGGGAGGACCCTGGCTGCTCCTGGTCATGGTTTACAACCCAGCTCTAATCTCTCTGCTTAGAAGTTTCCCCTCTGAAGGAAACAAAGAAAAAGCAAACCATCAGCAGGTGTTTTCCAGGCAAGAACAGCACTTTGGGGCAGTACTCCTGGAATAGAGGAGCTGCTTCTCCAGGAGGGGTAGGCATTTCACCTCTTCAGCGCAGGCCTGGGGTAGGGAGTGACTGCTGCCGCCTGGATCGGAGGAGCAAGTAACTGGCACCAAAAGGCAAAGGAAGACATTCCAAGATTCTAACTGGAAAAATTTTTTTTGGTACTGGAAATTGAATCCAGGCCCTCTGACCCAGTTACATTCCCAGTCCTTCTTTATTTGCTTGTTTATTAGTATAGGGGATTGAACTAATAATTTGCACTGAACTTCCTAACCCTTTTTTTTAGTTTTATCTTGAGACAGTTTTGCTAAATTGATCAGGCTAGGATTGAATGTGAGATCCTCCTGCCTCGACCTCCCAGAGTGCAGAGACTGTAGGCATGTGCCACAATGCCCCACTTATAAAATTCTTTTCACAGTAGCTCGGTAACTGAATAGTGTAGTTTTGGCTTACTCTAAAGAAATGGAGTAACCACTGTTGGCTCATTCTGTAGGAACCAAATTAGTGGAAGAGATATTGGGTCAGCAATCAAGATTTCTAGGTTCTAGTTCTGTCTCTGCTAGTGGAGGTTCCAGTAACTCTAGAATAATTAACGTACCTAGGTCTTTCTTGTCAAATGGGAAAATACCTCATTTATTAAAAACATTAAAAATGATGCTGGGAGTGGTGGTGCCTGCTCAGCACTCAGGCGACTAGAGCAGGAGTGAGTTTAAGGCCAGCTTGGACTACATTGTGAGACCCTGCCTCAAAAAACTATACCAAACCAAACCAAATTAAGAAAAACAAAACAAAACAAAACAAAAAAAATCAAAGTTCTGAAGGTATATAGCTTTCTTGCCACTACTGGCAGGAAGCCTGATGTGGGGGGAAGAGTTTCCCACAAATCATTTGCATTTCCTCTCAGGGGAACTAGTTACCTGTCGGTACCAGAGAATCGGATCCACCTCTGCCTGGCGGCCACATTCACTGCCTGTCTTGCTCTCTGAGGCCTCCTTGCCTAGGTGTGTGGCCTCACTCAGCTTCACCTTCAGGGCCTCTGGGGTGTGGCTGGGGAGTTTGGAGGCATCATCCAATTTGGGAATGATGACTGACTTGGCTGGGTCAGTCCCTGGCTCCTTGGCCTTGCCAGGCCCCGACTTTACTAGGTCTGTGAGGCTGGGGGCCTTGGTGAGGGTTGGTGGGATGGATGGCTTCTGCTTCCACTCCTCCTTGAGCGCAGCCTCACGGTCCTTGAGGCCCAGCTCAACCTTCTTGTCAGGGCCCCGAGGTGGCTCCAGGCCCTGGCGTTTCTGCTGCTCTTCATACTGCTGCCGGTAGGCTGCATTGGTGCTCAGCAGGTGTGCGTGGTAGCTCTGGTCGCCATAGCCATAGGGTGGCACGTAGGCATACTGGTTGTAGTACAGCGACTGCATGTACATGTTGGGCCGCTGCTGGATCACTGAGGGCTGCTGGCTGGCACCACCCATTTCAGGCTTCTTCTCCTCACAGACGTCATTCTTCCCTTTGCCCTCCAGGCTTTCTGGTTCCTCTTCCTTTTTTGACTTCAAGGCCTGGCTCTCCATGCCCACCTGGCTGCCAGGGTTCAGGGCCCCAGGGCTGGACTGGGCGTAGCTTGGAGAATAGTAGCTCTCAAAGCCTTGGTAGTATGGGGAGTCTTTGCTCTGTGGCTGAGGAGGAAAGAGCGTTTTCTTAGCCCCTTCCTTCACCAGCTGCTCGGGGTCCTTTGCCTTGAGGCTGTCTACCTTGCCCTCCCCATCCTCCCCTGCATCGGAGATGTCTGAGTAGGCAGGGCTATTGGTCTTCACTGAGCTCGCCTCTGCTCCGTTCTGGGTTACCACATGTAAGGGCGTCAGGGGCTGGGTTGGAGGTGTGCTGTCCAGGCGGCTTCCACCTCCAATGGAAGGGCTAGGGGCATTGTCTGTGAAACTGTAGATCTTGTCAGCTTCAGCCTTGATGCTGGCCAGACGGCTTTGGTGGGGGTCAGAGGAGCCATTCAGGAGCCCCTCTATCTTCCCCCCATCTCCTGATGACTCCCTGAAGGGACTTTTTCCTTCTTCTGCTCGACAGACCTTCCCAGGAGTTAGAGGACTTTCCAGTTCCTTGGATGACTCCTTCTTTTTTTTGTCTTTCTTCTTCTTGTCCTTGGCTGGTGTCAGGGCGGGATTGACTGTGAAGGGCTCCCCCATCACGGTGGGCTTGGGCTGGATGGGCTTGAGCTGTGGGCTGTTGGGCATGGCCTGCACGACTGTAGTGGTGAGGCCCGAGGATGAGCCTGGACTTGCTGCCGTAAACGTGGCGGTCTGGAAGGTGTAGATCTGCTGTGGGGGAATGGCGGGTGCAATGGGCCGGGCTGACTTCAAGCTCTTGGAAGGAATCTTTTCAGGTTTCAAACTAGAAGGCTTCTTACATTTCTCTTTTTCCATACACTTTCTTTCCAAAGAGTCAAAGGCGTCACTGCTTGTTTCATCCATTACTGAGGGTCCATCCTCGGAGCCATCATTGGATAAAGCCCCGAGGTCTGTGTCCCCTTCCCCACTCAGCTTTTTCTTACAGAGGCTTTTTGTGCTGAATTTGCTTGAAGGAGAAGGGCTATGGGGCTCTACAAGCCGAACTTTGGGGGTAGCTGAGCGGGCAGGGGACATGGAGCCTTTCTGGGAGACAGATGCACCATTGCAGCTCGTGAGGTCTGCGTGGAGGGCTGGATCCTCCCCATACTCGCTATCCCCATCTGCTTCCGGCTTGCTGTCCTCGTCTGTGTGGGCATGGGCTTGGTGGTACTTGAGTCCATTGATGTGCTTGTATTTCTTGTTGCAGTTTGGGTGGGGACAGTCAATCAGGACTGGGGAAGGGCAGTTTCTGTCCAGGACGGTGGGTTCCACCTTGGTCCCAGGCAGTGGGCCAGTGGCTGAGCCCATGGAGTTTGTCCGGACTCGCTTGCTCCCCTTGGAGTCCTCTGAGCTAGAGTTCAATTCCATGTCTGACAGGGGCTTGTTTTTCCGCTTACTGGCAGAGGAAGGGCTAGCCTTGACATCCTCAGAGGAGCCACTGGCAGGTGGGCGATGCTCTGAAGAATTCTGGCTGCCCCGACGGCCTTTGCTACTGGCTCCTGCTCGAGTTTTGCTGCTGCTGCTGGTCCCTTTGCTGTCAGAGGCTGTGGCTGTTTCACTGACAGGTGTGTTACTATTGGGACGCATGCGTTTGCCTCTACCTCGACCATTGCGCATTTCCAAGTCACTGGTGGGGGAGTCACAGAACCTTGGCAAAGGTAAACACAACAGGATGTTAGTAAGAGAAGAAACATCTGGGACTGCTGGTTCACACCTGTGATCCCAGCTACTGGGGAGGCTGATGCAGGAGGATCGCAAGTGTGAAGCTTTCACACTGAGCTGCACCCCCAGTCAGCCCTCCTTTTCCCCTTCCTTCCCCTTTTAAATTTTTATTTTGCCAGGCATGGTGGCACACACCTATAATCCCAGCACTTGAGAGGGCAGGGCAGGAGGATCAATGAGAGTTGAGGCCAGCCTCAACTACTGTAGTGAGATTCTGTGTAAATACCATTTTATTTTGAGGTAGAGTCTTGCTAAGTTACTAAGCTGCTCAGCCTAGACTTGAACTGGTGATCCTCCTGCCTCAGCTTTCCCAAGGGCTGGGATTACAGGCACGAACCACCCAACCCAACCTGGCTGCTGCTGCTTCTCTTTTTTCTCTCTTTTTGAGACAGGGTCTCATTATGCAGTTTAGGCTGCCCTTGAGCTCATTTTGTAGCCCAGGCTGGCCTCAAACTCGGCCTCCAAAGTGCTGGGATTACAGGCATGCACCACCACACCGGGATTTTCAACCTGGCTTCTTCCCTGCTCTGATTTTTTAAAAAAATTAATATATGTTTGTGATCCATAGAAAATGTAATCATCATGGAGAAACTGGTCCTTAGACAGCACACATGGCTTCTTGATCCTTTTTACCCCTTTATCTCAATTTTTTCTTTTTTGTTTAAGACAAGGTCTTACTATGTAGTTTAGGCTGGCTTTTAAACTATGTAGCCCAGGATGCCTCAAACTCCTAATCCTCCTGTCTCAGCCTCCCCAGTGCTGGGACTGCGGTGTGTTGTTACCATAGAAGATTTAAAAAACACATTATTTTCTTTTTGGGTACTGGGAATTGAACCCAGGAGCTCGTGCTTGCCGGCAGGTGCTGTGTTATTCCTGAGATATGGCTCAGTGAGAGAATACCTTTTTTTTTTTTTTTTTGAGACATGGTCTCGCTATGCAGTTCAGGCTGGCCTTTGAGCCCAGGGTGGTCTCAAACTCGCAATGATCCTCATGCCTCAGCCTCCCAGTGCTGGGATTACAGGCATGCGTGCCACCACACCTGACTTCAGAAAACATCTTTAAACCAGTTTAGTTGAAGCTCCTGAAGAACCTTTAGGATGATGGTTATCACTTTCAATAAATATGATTTGCTAAAAGGACTTAAGATGTGAGACTGTGTTAATGAAAAGCTCCTAGGTTGCTAGCCACATGCCTGTGGGACGCTCTCCCTAACCTCCCTCCCTAAAGCTCTGAAGTTTGTTCCATCAGGTGAAGGCAGCCACGTGGCCAGAATCATGTGGCCAGAATCCTTCTGGAAGGACTTTAAAGTCTGACACAGACAGTGAGGCCAGGCCTGCTGTGGTCCTCGACAGTTACAGGTCTGACAGGTTACCATGACCCAAATCTGCCTCTTTTACCCCACAGTTGTTCTCTAAACACCTTACCACAGAGGTACACACAGGGAAAAAAAAGCACATATTTAGGAGGCCCTGAAATCCATCCCAGACATCAGATTGGACGGGATGTGCATTATTTCAGTGTTTGGAGATTTGCACCACAGAGGTACTTCTGATCCCAAATTTGCTTTTCATGGAGCCAAAAACACTGTCTAAAATTAAATCTTTAGCTAAGATTAGTTCCTTTTTAGACCTGGTTTATACTTTTGTCCTGGGGGATATGGAACAGACTGTTTCTAAGACTCTGGAAGCCGCAGTGATGGCAGAACAAGCAATCACTACATTGCTTAGGCTGGGCTCCGTCCTGCTGCCTCATCCTCCCATAGTGCTGCCCGTGGTGGGCAACACCACACCGAGCGTCTCTCTGTATCTCTTGCTCTCTCTCCCCTCCATCTCTCTTTATTTCTTTTGAGGTGGGGGTTTCACTATGTCACCCAGGATGGCCTTGAGCTCAACCTCCAGAGTAGCTGTGGTTCCAAGTGCATCACTATGTCTGGTTTGGTAACAGGGTTTCTGTAGGCCAGGCTGGCCACAGGACCCCCTTGCCTAGGCATGTGGGGTGCTGGGAATTGACCTTCCCTGCAGTGTCTGTGACTGTTAGGGCATGTGTGAGTGTGTGGCGGCTGCACTCAATGCGCAGCTCCGAGCCTGCTGTCTGCACACAGACTGTGAAGGACTCCTTGACATTTAGGTTCCTCACCCCTCTGGCAAACTGGGTTCTAATTTTAGGAACAAATTGCAAGATGCCACACACTGAAAGATCAATCCTTTTTTTTTTTTTTTTTTGCAGAACCTGGGATTGAACTCAGGTCCTTGTGCCTGCCAGACAAGCGATTATTCTACTGAGCTATCTTTCCAGCCGCCAAGATTACTCCTTTTAACTCAAAACCTTTTTGCGGGTGTGGTACTGGGGATTGAACCCAAAGCCTTGTGTGTATCAGCCAGTGATTTGCCACTAAGTTACACCTCAGTCCCAAAATGTTGGTATCAGTCAAGTTACAGCTTGAAAAGATCCTGTGAAGCCAATAAAAACTTGTAAAATTGAAAATTTTCTTGGGTTTAAGTTTCTGAAAAACAGCTATTGTTACAAGGCATCACCAATAAATACCTGCTAACTCAGATGTCAGGGCCTCGGTTTTAAGGCGGCTACAAGAAGAGAATATGGATAGAGGCTTAAGAGGCATTTCTTCACCCTGCTACCTTCTCTCCCACCCAACACCTGGTACTTCAGTCTTGCTAAACTGCCTAGATGAGATGCAAACTTGCAATCTTGCCTCAGCTTCCTGAGATGGTGTGCCACGGCACTCATCTTATTTATCCTTTTTATTTTTTTGTACCAGAAATTGAACTCAGGACCTTGTGCTTGCCAGGCAGGTGCACTGCTGAGCTATATTCCTGGCCCTTATTTACCCTTTTTAAAATGCCAGATAAATACACTGCCTTGTCTCTTGTGTCTTTTTTTTTTTTTTTTTTTTGTCTCTGTGTCCTTAACATCCTTTAAAGATGGCAAGCAGTTGTATCCAGATGAAGGTACGTGGAGGGTGGTCAGACTCACCGCGGGGGTGCCCAGTCGTGCCGTGTGCAATCGAGCAATGTGCCTACGTAGGTCTTGTTCCTCCATGTCACATTTACCACCAGCATCCCTGGGAAACGAGAAGACGGAGGTGTGAGTTGCGTGAGCCCTGCTAGTGCAGTCTTCACCCAGGCAGCACTTGGCCTTCTGCAGGAGGCGCCCGAGGCCCCAAGGACCCAGGACAAACCACCCCCGGGCAGCAGCTCCGATGCTCAGGCTGCGAGGACAGCAGCGTACAGAGCATACTGCCTCAGGATAAAGCAGACCTAAGCAGCGCCACAGAGCCGCACGCAGGGCCTCAGCGACAAGCATTATTTATTCTGTTTTCACACTGTACACATATGGGGTACAGCACGACTTCCACTCCTCACCTCAGGCTACAGACTGGAGATTTATCCATACTGACATGAAAAGCTAAATCCATTCGTTTTTACTGAGCTCACTGAAGTATTAACTTCAATGTAATTTGATCACAGTTTGTATGTTTTCCTATTGGGGAACATCTTGGGGTTTTGGGGGGTACATTTTTACTCTTTTTTTTTTTTTTGGCAGAACCGGGGATTGAACTCAGATCCTTGCGTTTGCCAGTCAAGCGCTTATCCTATTGAGCCATCTCCCCGGCCCCCATTTTTACTTTTAAATGATATAATAATATTTCTGACAAGTTCATATTATTTAAAAATGTTTTTGAGGGGCCAGGGAGAGGGATCAGTAGAATAAGCACTTCCCTGGCAAGTGCAAGGGCCTGAGTTCAAGCCCTGCTTCCGCAAAAAAAAAAAAAAAAGAAAAGAAAAAACGATTTTGAATGGGTAATGTAGTCATACTCCAAAAGTCAGCCAAAATCCCCTAAAATAAAATGAAGTGTCACTGTTTTTCAGCCTTCCAATTCTCAGAAGCATCACTGGGTGTGGGGCATGGCAGTGAACACCTTAATACCAGCATTCTGGGAGGCTGAGGCAGGAGGCTCCGCAAATTCCAGGGCAGCCTGTGGAAATTAGCAACTAGCAGGATCCTGTCTCAAAATAAAACAACTGGTAATGTAGCTCAGCACAAAGGCAATGAGTTAAGCCCTTAATCTCACACAAACACACACACACACACACACACACACACACACACACGCGCATGCATGCATGCACGTGCAGTGTACTTTAGACATTTGTATTTCCTTTCCAGTCTATTGTCTATTCAAGTCTTTTTAGAATTTCCAACCTTTTGGGGAATATTTTGGTGCTAGCAATTTGTGGTGGATTAACTAATGTGTACCTTGTTTTTTAAAATGTATTTGGTACAGGGTCTCACTACACAGCTCAGACTCATAGTGATCCTCCAGTTTTTAAGCCGTCCCAGCCCTGGGATTACAGGCATGCGTTAGCAGGATGCCCATAGTTGGTGGCTGGCTCAGTGTGCCCAGGGGCGGGGCTGGTGGGGCATGTGGTGCCAAGGATCAAACCCCGTTCCCCGTACCTGCATAGGCAGGCGCTTAGTCTGCCGAGCTATCCTGCCCATAATGAGTACCCTGTAATGGCCAGCTGAACTGAATCAGTGCACTGCTGGGTGTGGAAGGCCCATCTGATGACTGCTGCCTACAGCCTAAAAACAGAACTGGAGAGGAAGATGGGGTGCTGTTGATTCTCCTGGAGAAGATTCTCATTCTAGTTTTCCTGATATGAACTGGCTATCCCCATGGTCGGAGGAGCTTGGGTCTTTGCTGTCACTGAGAATGGCTGTGTTTCTCTTCGGGGGAGCTCTGGTCCTCACCTTCAGCGTTGCTTCCTGGCTCCAGTACAGACCCCTCGGCCTGTTGGCACAAATCCTTCACTTTACAGTTTCCATCACTGACCTCTGGGCCTTCCCAGCACAGATCCACGGTACAGACTTGCAAGAGGGACCCAGGCCCTCAGCTGGATAGTGGGGTGGACGGATCTCCTGCACTCTTCTGCATTTGATTCTTTGGATGAATATTATAAAATAATCCTATAAACTATGTGTTTTGTATTAAATCCATTCTCTTGTAAACACTGCTTACAACAGGACTGAATGGAATGCCTTCCCATGGAGCTGTAGTCCTAACTCTTTGTTTAAAATTTCTGACACAGGGACTTGCTAAGGCACTAAACTGCCATGTAAGATTTGACGCAGTCCTCCTTTAGCCTCCTACACTGCTCGACTTCGGGGATTACAGGCCTGCCTCACTCTGTGATTTTTTTTTGTGGTGCTGGGATTGAATGTGGGATCTTCTGCTTGCCAGGCAGGCACTTACGCAGCTGAGCTATATCCCTGTCCCAGTTGTAATTTTGAATACACCAAAGTAAAGATTTCACATGTAATATGACTCAGTTATGTTCCTTCAGCTTGTCATTTGTAAATGGTTAATAATATGTACAAATTATTTACTTTTATGTTTTTTTTTTTTTTCAGAACTGGGGATTGAACTCGGGCCCTTGTGCTTGCCAGGGAAGTGCTTATTCCACTGAGCTATCTCCCCGGCCCCACAAATTATTTACTTTTATATTATCATGTTTATCAATCTTCATGGTTTCTGAATTTCTGTCATATTTCAAAAGGCTTTCCTCCTTCTGTCTCTATGTTAACAGTTTTTTTTTTTCAAAGTTTCTTTCTTTTCTTTCTTTCCCTGATGTACTGGGGATTGAATCCAGAGCTTTTGCAATGAACTACAACCCTAGGCGTCTTAAACTGTACTGATTGATTCTAACACAGGGTACCTCTCCAGTCCTTCATTTTTTCATTTTGAGACAAGGCCTCCTTAGGGCGATAAATTGTCTAGGCAGGACTCAAACTATTCCTGTTTCAGCCTCCTGAATGCTGGGATTATAGGCCTGTATACCCGACTTCAATGATTATTTCTCACTTGTAAAACAAATGTGAATCATGATTGACTGAGACAGGGTTTTGCTATGTAATCTAGGCTGACCTCTCACTCCAGGTGACCCTTCTGCCTCAGCCTTCCAAATGCTGGGATTATAGGTGTGCACCAGCCCTCTAGCCCCAGCTCTTCTAAGATTTTATTTTATTTATTTTTAAAATTGTGTGTGTGTGTGTGTGTGTGGGTGTGTGTGTGTGTGGTGCCAGCTCAGCCCACCAGGGGGCGGGGCTGGCTGGCATGTGGTGCTGGGGGATTGAACAGCAGTCCCTGTGCTTTGCTAAGCTTGTTCTGAGTAGGTGCTTTAGACCACTGAGCCATCTCACCAGCCCCTCTTCTAAGATTTTAAACTGGTTAATTTTTCACATTTACCTAACATTATTTAGTTTCTGGGATTTTTTTTTTTAATTATTTATTTTTATTTATTACATTTATTTATTGTGTGTGTGGCCAGCTCAGCCCACCAGGGGGCGGGGCTGGCTGGCATGTGGTGCTGGGGGATTGAACCGCGGTCCCTGTGCTTTGCCAAGCTTGTTTCAAGTAGGTGCTTTAGACCACTGAGCCATCTCTCCAGCCCCTCTGGGATTTTTCTGATTCAAGGTAGCATCTCATTTTTAATAGAGGCTGCTTTTTTTTTTTCAATACTAAAGATTGAACTCAGGACCCTATGCCTGCCAGACAGGGCTTAATCTACTGAGTTATCTCCCTGGCCCCTACAGGTTACTTCTGTTTCTATTCAAGAATACTAAATACACTTAATGGAGTCTCACTGTATCACAAACTAAGTTCATTAAATGTGCATTCAAGTGCTAATGGCTGCTGGGTGTGGTGGCAAATGTCTGTAATCCCAGCACTCAGGAGGCTGAGGCAGGGAGATTGCTATGAGTTTGCAGTCAGCCTGGACTATACAGCCAGACCTTGGCTCAAAACACAAAAACAACAAAACAAAACAAAAAGTGCTGATGGTTGATTTTTAAAAATCAATTTTTAAAATTTGAGATTATTCCTGTTTAGGCAGATGCAGTGGCCTGGGAGTTTGATCCCCTGTGTGCTGTACCGGCCCTGCCCCCAGGGCTGCTGAGACTGCAACTGAGACGGGGCATGGTGGCGCCTGCCTGTAATCCCAGCTCTTGGGAGGCTGAACACTGGCGATCACTATGAGTCTGGATCTACATAGTGACCTATGTAGACCTTTACTAAAACATACATGCAAAAAAAAAAAAAAAAAAAAGACATTATTATAAATCCACCTAGAGTTGTAAGGCACTAAGAGAGGCTACATGTTCTCTAGTCAGTTTCTCTATGGTTATGCCTTAATGGCAGTATAATATCTCAGCTAGGAAGCCACCAGTTGATAGCCTGGAGACACAAAACACTTCCTGCACCACAAAGGAGCCTGCAGTGTTGTCCTTTTCAGGGCTACTGCTGTTCCTTCCCCCATGGGTAGTCCTGGAGATCAAACCCTGGATCTTCACACTGAGCTACATACTCAGTCCTTCATTTTTCTCTTGCCTAGACTGCAAGGAACTATTTGGAGATGGGGGTCTAAGCTGCCAAATTGTGTTCTCGCTTCAGTAGCACATATGCAAAACTGCCAAACTTCCCAAGGTGGGCTTGCATTTGTGATCCCCTGCCTCAGCCCCCCAGTGTGCTGGGAGTACAGGCATGCACCTCCATGCCCAGCCCCACAGCCTCCTGCGCCAAATGCTAACCTGCCCTCTAGCTCTGTAACTATGTCATTTCAAGAGCGTTACATAAATGGGATCACACAATATGTAATACTTTAGGACTGCTTTTCTTTTTTTTATTGTGACCTTCAGATTTTATTTATTCTTTCAGATTAGGACTGGTTTTCTTTAATCAGTAAATTCTCTGGAGATTGACCCAAATTTATGATATATCAATAGGTTACTGTTAGCCAGGTATAGTGGCACATGCCTATAATCCCAGCACTTAGGGCTGGGAGAGAGCTCGGTGGTCCAAGTGCCTGCCTGGCAAGCGCAAGGACCTGGGTTTGATCCCTGTTATCCCATGCTGTGCTGGCCCCACACCGACCGGGCCACCAAAACTAGGTGTAGTGGCGCACACCTGTATTCCCAGCTCTGCAGAGGCTGAGATGGAAGGATCACTACGAGTCCAAGGTGTGTAGTGAGACCCTGTACCAAATAAACAGATTAAAAGAAAAA